TAAACCTTGAGTATACTTAAAAATCCTAAAAATCAAAATTTAAATATATTCATTATCAAAATAAAAAATGGGAATACGCATGCTGAATAACTTTGAAATAGTCTGAGTAGTACCTTATTTATAAATTTATAATACTTACATAATGACTGCAGGTGTATTTTTGTATTAATCTTGTACCAGCAATACAAACTGTATTATTTACTGGTTGAAGTCAGAAAGTTTTCACAGTTGGTGATTGATTGATTTTTATAATTCAGGCCGAGATATCATATAACGATTTACAATAGCATACTTTGAATACACGAGGGAAAAGAGAGAAAATGATGATAATTGATAAGTTATCTAAATTTACGAATCCTAGGAATAACACTACCATAAAGGCCACAAGTTTTCAATCGCAAAACAATTGAAAAAAACTAATTGCCAACGTAAGAAATCATGGAAAACGAAATTAGAGCTTTTTGGTTTTTGGATTATTTTGGCATTGTTTTGAAAATAATAAGCAATAATATTTATAAATATTATGGGCAATTAAGTAAAAAAATATGGTGATCAACAATCACAATACTTTTGAATTTTTTTTTAGTCAAACGATTTTTGTCAATTTTTAATACAATAAAGTTTGATTTCGACCCCAACAAGTGATGATTAATGTTTATCGATTGTGTTTGCGGTATGCGGGTATAGTCAATAACGACGTGGCGTTGGCCGTCTGGAACCTGTAGTCGAAACTTTGTTCTACACTTTTACAATGCACGTGTACAGCCTGTAGACTGTATGATTGATACTTGGGATAAGAAGTCTAAAAAATGTTAACTATACTTAACGTATCACTGTATCACAAAAATTGTATTGATGTAACGGAAAATATGTACATTTTCGATGGACAGTATAAACAAAATTATACATTCCAGACTATAGGTATTTATACAATTTAAAATACAATGCTTTTTCTATGTTTGGTAATATAACAACTAAGCTTGTTACTTTAATATAAAATATAATAATGTGCGACCATCATCATTTTATTAGATAGGTACCTAGTTATTACTTTTTTAATATAAATTATGTTTTAAAGTTTTTACCTATTATTTTTTTATAACTAATTAGCATACAAATAGTTTCTATAAATTCTCATTGAAAAAAAGATAAGTTAGTGGATACTGCTTGTTATACATTAGGTGTCAAGTATGTTTTGTAATGTATGATGTATTAAATTTGAATACAATGATATATCATTGTATGTCTGAGTTATCATAATTTTAATACTAATGGCTATAAAAAAATAAATAATTTTATGCGAAAAATGATTCTGAGCGGTTACGGTCTTGTCAGCCTATTTTACTAAACATATTCATGAAATGTTTTTTAACATAATAGTTATTAAATTCATTCATTTAATTTAATAGTATTATAATAGATTGATTTAATTTTTATCGAAAACATAACGTTCATAATATTACAAGTATCAATAGTATCTATTAAATTATTAAAATAATAAATATATTTATATATTATTATTACTTATAGTATTTTTGAGAGTCGATACTACCCTTACTGTAAAACAGTCTGAATTCTTATGAGAAATCTTGAATTACACTTTTAATAAAATTTTTACTCAGTTAAACATTTTTATCGTCATTTATAAACAAATATTTTTTAATTTTAATATCTATAAAAAGCTCACAAAAAACTTAAAATATTTTGAAAATTTTATCGTGTATAATACAAACAAATGGGAAAAAAATATTAAAGTATCTTTGGTTGTTTTTAAACTACGATATGAAAGACTGTTTTGCGTAAAAATTTCTGTTTTACTATAATTCATTAGGTACCCGAAATTATTATAGGATCAGCCATGTAAGTTTCATATTGTTGAAGAGTTTAGGTTTCATAGAAGTCCAGGTTTCGAACACAATGGATAAATTGCATAATTTTTATGTCTTTCCTAATAAGCACCAAAATCACTTTTGCTCCGAATAGTGTCAGGTTCAACATGTTGAACAATAAGGCACCATTGTCAGCTAGTCTTAACGTGTACCTTTTGGCTTTTGATATGCCCATCAATTTTAAAAGAAATTTTTATGATAACAGTTTATTCGTTATAATATATAATAATCAGCTGAGTGCATTTCATTAACACGTCATAAGTGATGTAATAATAATATAATAATATTCTGTATTACGATCGAAATTTATTTTCACTTCGCTACGAGTCGTCCATCATATTATTCATTTAGTTTTTGGTTTTCATTATAAATTATCATTATTGTTATTAGCACTTCAAACTTTTAAATCTTTCTTTTTTAAAACAGTTCTATTTTTAAGAAAATTGAATTTTTTTGAGATTTTTGCCTTAGACTATATGAAATATCTTTGTGTCAAATTTTACGTTTTTGCTTTTATGGAAGTTCCTCATAATTTTGACGACGATGGTAAGAAAAAAAAATAAAAAAAATTATAAAAATCTCCCCATTAGAAATAGTTTAATATTATTTTAAACTAATGTTTTACATTATTGTTTTTATTTAATTTAAGTTATTTCGGCTTAATCGAAGTTTAAAATTGCAATATCCAAAGATGCCTGCAAGTAGAGATATAAGGGCGAATTGACTCATGTAAAGATACATAGTATGCAGCTTAAACCTGATACGGTGCATTATTGTGCGCTCAGATAAATTAATTTATACGTATTATAAATTTGTATAACTGTAATAATTCTTGGATTATTTGGGTCCAATATATTTTCACTCGAATATTCGATACTATTATTGTTAATAAAACACTTATAATATTCAATAATATAGTATGCAAATAATAAGAAGAATCATTTATCAAACGATCTTGCTACTGTAAACTGGTTGCTTTATAAACTGCAATTAATGTATTTATTTTAATAGTATTTTAGATGTACTGATACAATTTAAAAGTGAAATTATAAAATAATAACAAAATAATACCCCATCACTCGTCACAAACACGGCTTTGTGTTGTCAATTAACTGAAATGTGTTATTGTAATTTTAATCTCTAAAATGTGATTATAATGTATTTGGTTCAATAAAGAAAAAAAAATCGTGCATAACAAAGTAATAACCGTAATGTCACACAGCCGTAACTACGTTATCATCATGATTTGCACGCGCGTTCTAGTATGTCATAGTTGCGAAACGTTTCGTAAGTTTCGTTTATTACGAACTAACGGACTGAGATGGATCTATCAGATATTCAGATGGATCGCTAAAACGGAGAATAATATTTTATCGGAATGCAACACACCCGCCAACCGCACCACGTGCTCCACCCGTCGTTGCGTGCACGCGCGTGCGAGTATTTTATAAAACCGAAAAATAATTCTGTTACAATAACAATAATAATATTATAATGTTATGGATTCGGGAATTCAGCGGCGCAGCGCGTGCAACGATATTATAATTGCGCGCCGCTGCAAACGGGTCACGGGGTGCGCGCGGGTAAGTTAAAAACGCGATAATATAATATATTGTTATAAAACATATACGGTGGAAGAGGGGACGATCTCCGAAATCGGTAACGCGCGTATACAATTATTACAAAACGATATGAATTATTTGGAATTATTTTAGTGGTTCGATGACGGTTGACGGCTTGACGCTTGACTATTGGCGTTTTTTTAATAGATTTTAAAACCATCGTGATGGGACGAGAAAATGATGTAGCGTTAGAGATGAAAAAACTACGATTTTAAAGGCAAAAAAAAAAAAAAAAGGAAAAAATTGAAATGAAACGATCGACCGTAATAAGCACAACAACAATACACGATAGTCGACGGACACTAAAATATATCATATTTTATTATGTAAATAATCTTTATAAATAGACAATAGTGAATAATAATAACACGACATGAACCGCGAACGAACGAAAAGGGATTTCGGGATTTTGGCTGCTCGCGGCTCAAGTATAATGTTAAACGCGTAGGTACAGATATAGAGTGCCGTCGGGCCACGACGACTTTCAGTCGGGTAGGTTAGGCCTAAAGGTTAATACGAAATAAAACGAATTTTTAACGCTCGTCGAATGATGTCGCGTGTGTTTTTTTGCTCAGCAAAATCATTACAAGCCATAGGCAGGACGACACTCTCATCCCTCGCCTCGCCACTGTATGCCACTCAGACATACAGCGGCACAGTGCACGAATTTCACGAGTGAAATGTGACGAACAAAAATTACTGCGGGAGCGCGTTACCTACGTACAATTAAAATTTTAATTCGCGTCGGACGCGCGAGCGAACCGCCGCCGAGAGAACGAGGGGGAAACGTTTTTTCGGGTTTTTTTTTTTTTTTTTGCGTTGCCGACGCGAATAACATCGCTGCAGTCATCACACGCGACGTGATGTTTTGCGGTACGCGATCAACCCGTCGGTCGTCGCAGTCCTCCGTCCTTCCGGTCTACACGCGCGCATGATATTATTATTATTATTAGGAGGTATATAGGTATATGCGGTTATAGCGCGACATGAACATCAGCGCGCGCGTCCATCCGCCGGTGCACGGCGTACACGCACGCCGCCGTTCCGTCGTCGTCCGCCCGGGCCACCGATCGCTAACCCACCCACCGGCTTCCGTGCTTCGCGTCCTGCACGCGGCGGCGGCGGCGGCATCGGTTTGTGCACTATATAATATTATAATTTAGTGACAACACCATCACCGCCGCCATCGCCGCCGCCGCCGCCGCCGCCTCGGTCTGCACGCAATCGATTGCGCGTCGCGTTACAACGTCGTGCGCGCACACGCACACGCCGCGCGTATAATATAATGTAAATATATACATATACGTACAGTGCGACGAGAGGTTGCAGTTGTGGGCGCCGCAGTGACGCGAGCGCGCGCGCGCGCGGTCCGCTCGATCGACGGCGGCGAGCGGAAGTCACCCGAGCCGCGTTCGCGCGCGGCGCGCATCGGCTCTGCGACTGCCGCGCCGTGCGTGTGCGCCGTGTGGCACCACATGATGTATATATATATATATACGCTCACATATATGCACACGTATACGTTTGCGCGTTATACGCGCGACGTCGTCGACGCCTAGCAGGCAGCAGCGATTCCCTCGACCGCCACCGCGCGTACCGCATTATAAAATATCGCGCGCGCGGCGCATATAACGGCGGCGACGGAAAAATTTATTATTATTGTTGTTGTTGTTGTTGTTGTATTGTTCTACAACCGCAGTCGCAGTCCGAGCGTCGCGTCAAAAACTGCGCACGTCGTCACACGGTCGCGCATTCGCGTAACACGCGCGTAACGCAACGTCGCACAAAATATTTTGACATCGCTTGCCGCGCACGTTGTGCACTGCAGGTCGTCGTCGTGGAACGTCTCTGTCTCGTTGCAGTGTTCTTAGGTTTCCGCGTCAAAAATAACGGCTCGCGATCTCGCGTACTGATAATAGTAATAATAATAATAATAATAATAATAATTTAAAACCTGTAAACGTCGTTATATTATTATAATATCATAAATCGTTTTGGTCGTGTGATGTACACAAATATTATTGTTATAATATTATACGCGCGACGCTGTTGAGCTCGACCGAAGTAGTCGCGCGCCGTCCGGACATTTACGGTCGTCACCGACATGAAAAAGGCTGCGAGCAAAGTGCGCGACGAAAAGCTGTTGGCCGCGGTGCGTGATCGACCGGTGCTCTACGATCAGTCAATTCACGTGTTCAAAGACTATGGCGCCAAGAACGCCGCGTGGAAAGAAGTGGCCTCCGCCGTGGTCGGTTCTCAGGACAAACAGGCCGGTCAGTCAATTCTAAATATATATATATATATATACATATATACACACATGCGTATTACATTATATTAATCTATTTTTAGCATTATAATGTGATATTATATATTTATAATTTATTACGATTAACATAGTTATTAATATAATATTCTTGTTCGTCGCGTACGTGTTATAATATCATTATGTGCGGCATAATAAATATTTTGCCTAATCGGCACATAATGAGACGAGTTGCGATGGTGTGCTATGCTTAAGACTTCATTGGCCTTGGATGAGGGAGGGGGAGGAGTTGGTTCCGAGATGGTAATTTAAATTTTAAACTAACGATTTTTATACCACGGTATGATAATAATGTTTTAATCAGTTACGACCCCGACCGGATAATACATATTAGATGTATACTGACATATTATTATAATGTAAAGTCTTTACCGCGGTAGATATATGTTAGTTTTGGTACAGCAGTTAGATATAATGAGATGAGTAATTAAAGACCATCTCCGACTCGTCAGCCCCCTCAACAACTTCTATAACGTCTAATTATCCGATGTCGGCGACGACGACTGCTGTTGCTCGTGCAAGTCGATCAATTGATGTTTTCCCGCCAAATTATTCATTAGCAGCTCGAAGTGATACATAATTAACATATTACCTACCCTGACGAACATCTCCAAATAGTGTGGAAGTTTTCTTGGAAACAAACTACAAACTGATCCGGCCTTTAAGTACCGGTCACTCTAGGTCTTTGAACTTTTATCCGTTAGGGAAGGTTTAACCGTGTATATATTTAGGTATATGTACATACTATACACAATAAATAGTCGGTGACTGTAGGTGATGTACAGTATATTTATATTTTATGCTAATTATATATATATATATATATTATTCTGTTGGTGCAATGCGCGGTCGGGTATATACAGGGCGTGAAACTACGTAATTATTGAGGGTATACACAGAGTGAAAAAATATATCATTATAATTTGCGCATGATAGTGCGTGCGATCACCTTGGATACGGCGTGTATACAGTGACTATCGCAATTGTTTCGATTTTTGCAGAAAAAAACAAATTGCACGGTTGATTTTTTTGTACACGTTAATTTTGCGATTCACTCTGAGTTTTTAATATTTCATCCCACTATTCGTACTATATTTCTATATTTCATATTATGCAGTATACACATACACGTTTCCTCGCACATTTTTAACGGTGTAATATATTCAGTTTATCGCGTTTCGACGAAATATTACGTTTAAAATCAATGAAATATAATGTGTTTAAGGTCTAACCTACCAAACTCGCGGTATATGTATATGTATGTTTACGTTTTTGTGGTTTATTGTTACATCATTATAATGAAGTGCTTAAAGTAAGGGAGATTCGCACGGAACACCTTAACTATGCTTTTTTTTTTTATTGGAACCCTCGGTTTCCGAACGGGACAATCTAAAACCTGAATTGATTTTCTTTAAATGTGGGCTTAAATTTTCGGTAATGATAATACATTGCTATTGTCGTTAAATAAATCGTAAAAGTTTACCTCGAGTTTATACCTAATGAATTTTATAATTTTTAATATTTTTGATTTTAGTTTATAGTTTGTATAATATAATGTTTATTTGTCGATGTCCTATACGGCTTCTATATAGTATTTATAGTGTCATACCGGTTACGACGGCTCAATCTATTTATCTAACAATTTCTATCTTATTTTAATTATATATGTTTATAATAGATAATATTTAGTATTCATAATATTGAAGTGGTTCTCGGGGGGAGGGGGTGAAGCCACCCATAAGCCTGTGTTAAATAAGTTTACATTTGGAAAACAGTTTTTAAATTGTTAGATTGAACACTTAAATATATTAAGTATGTACTATAGGTAGAAAATTAGTGATTTTAAAGAGCTTTGCACAGGGTTCGGCAAAAAAAAAAAACCACCCGTTTTATTAATCTTTTTGTTCGTGACCAAAAAATACTATGGTATTTTATATTACTTGGTTTTAAACACTATAAATGGTAAATAGCGTCATCAATTGTTGACACATTGACGAAATCCGAAATATGAGAAGTTTTATTGTCGGATCCTTTATTATGAACGTCGTCTGATATTCATTTTCGTGTATTAGATAAAGAAATCTATAAAAAATAAATAACTTTATAGTAACAATTTATTGGAGAGATGTATTATACATCAATATAATAATATTATGAATTATTATCATAGCACTCTATACTACCCACAGCAGTGTTTTGATGAAGAGGCGCACATTTTTTATACTGGGATAGTTCTCGTACCCTTAAAATGGAACTATGGGTTTAAGGTTTTATTATATGCTATATGATATGCATACACCATACAATACGAGTAGATTCTTTGCGACCTAATATTCTTCTAACAAAAGTAAAATATGAATGAATGCATATTGTACTGATATACGAATATAGTGTATTAGTGTATAACGGGAACTGTCTGGAAAAATTCCTCGTTTATATCATCATAATATATAAATGATGATATCCTCGTCTTACGAACATTACAAACAATATTGTCGGGACAGATGAGTTTTAAAGTGCACTTACCGGACTATTTTGAATGATTTGAACATATATTATTAATAGTATATACGAATTGGAACTTGGCGGATAGACAATGTGAGGCATACGGCATATTACTTTCTTTTTTTAAGCAAATGGTTCATTTATGACTTATGAGTAATGGCTATAGGTACGTAAAAGCTATAATATTCGTCTTCTTACTTCTATCTTACTAATCTGTACGAATTAAGTATTTATTTGTAATTATTGAGTTCAGAATTATTGTTTTATACAAATTATATTGTAAAATAAGTAGCAATCAATTATATTTAACAAATACGAGTATAGAGTAAAATAATACTGTGAATTGATACAATTATATTGATTATTGATCAAAAATTTAAAAAAATGTAAATAAACACAAAAGTATTATTAACTATTTGTATTTATTACTTTATACTTAACATTATTTTATGATAAATAATAATTTATAAACAGATTTTAATCATTTTAGTTTTTAAACTAAAAATAAAACAATAGATAGGTTTACTGATTAATAAAAATGTATATAATTAACATTTCAAGGTCATAGCTAGAAAAAACCTTTGGAGGAAGTTGGGTAAAATAATTTTAATAATTTTTTTTTAATTTTTGTTCCATATATCAACTAAATATTTAACTCATATATTTTATTTAATACCTAATAAAAATAAAGGGTTAATCGTTGAAGTACATTTATACACTTTCCTAATAAATATAAATATTAGTTTATATTTCATTAATCATTAGATACCTTATAATAACATGCGTACAGATTGATTCTAATAAAAGTGAAATTTTAAGTTTTAACGGTTTTGGAATTTTTTGTTTTAGATAATTATATTTTAGAAGTTATTTTAAAAACTATATATTCAAAAAGTTTTATATGAGTAGGTACTAAGTTTCTTAGCTATATGTTTATGTATGTATTGAAATTAATGATTATTACTAATGGTATCGGACACGTAATCGCTGATAATTTGGTGTAAAGAAAATTAAACACGAGGACTTTATGGAAGCTATTTGGCGCATGGACAATTATTGGTCCAAATAAATTCACCATATAGAGGTATATTTTAAATTCTATAGTTTTATAGGTATATTCGTATATTACATAATGTATGAAATTATATTTTATTAAGTATTTATCATATTTTCACGTTATCGGTTATCGCTGGTTTTTAATTATATAGATATACATACATAGCAAAAATATATTATAAATAGATACTCGTAGTCTTTGTTTGATAAAATTTAATAATTCATTATTTATGAACGACCTCAACACAATAACATTATTACTTGAGATCAACGATTTTGTTTTTAACTAGATAGTTAAATAGATAACTAAATATCCATATGCCCTGTGTTTTTGTTTTTATATTTTTATAAAGAATTTGTCAAAACTGTACTTATTACATTAAAAGTGAAAAAAGAACGTAATATGACTAATATGTTAGTAAAGAAAGGTTTTTTTTGCAAATAAAATAGACAAAGCAAAACAAAGATTATTTGGAGATATACAGATTCTAAATCAAAATAAATGTAGTTTATAGTCATATACACGCTTGTATAGATTGTAAAGAATGGCATATTGACGGTAATGTCGGTATATTTTTATCTGCACATATAAAATATTTAATGAATTATTTACATTCTAGTCTATAATGTTCTATCGTTCATATTTGCACGTCTTCCAAATACAACTGAAGAAATATAAATGAGATTATTTCGTATAATTAACTTATTGGAGCCTGAAAAAACAAATACTTTACCTATTAAAACTGTACGAAAAGTATTTCCTCAATACTCATTAAATTATTGTATTTTTACTTTTCTCAATTACTTTGGAGCTATACACAAAAAACTCGGGCTATCGATAGAATATCACGAAAACGCTGAATTTCCATTTCATATTAGAATGGTTAAATATATTAGCTTATATTCCCAAATTTTAACTAATTGACACTTATAAAATGTTTTTACAACCATAATAATACAATAAATACATTTTTCAACAATTTTGAGGTTACATCAAACATGGGTTGATTGTAGTACCCAAAATCGAAAATTTAATCCAAAATGTCCTATAGAACTATGGAATTATTTCAATTTAGTTCAAATAATATTTCTTAAATGACCTAAATCAATAACTTCATAAAAGGTTAGCACAATTCATTTACCACAGTTTTTAACGCAGTATATTATTCTTCCATAGTGAAATTTATCGGAACTTTGAAAATTACACAAATCTGTAACAAGTATGAAGTAATAAACTAAAATCTGAAAAAAAATGTTGTAAGACACGTCTATTTTCAGAAAAAAATATTTTTTTTTCGAAATGTAAAAAATGTGTAACTGTATCTAAGAGATTTTAGTTACTTTCATTTCAAATTAACTAAAAAATCTTAAGCCTTTAAAATAATTTCCCTGTATATCAGTACCATTTCATTATCTAGGTAAAACTTAAATAAAATTAATAGTAAAAATTTTGTCAATAATATTACTTATAATTTATAATATAAACAGTATAAAGTCAAGGGTATAAAAAAATAAATATATGAAATATAAAGTACACTATACACGTAATTATAAATTGTAAAATTATACAATATAATATAATTATGCAATTGTACTACCATGATATAAAAATTAAAAAGAAAACATTTTTATGACGAAAATTATTTTTATTTATAAACTCTTTATTATAGTATGAAAACATTTTATTGGAAGGATGGTTTAACGAGAATCTCTGCCAGGCGGAATTATATATTCCTCTTATCTAATTGTATCAACTGTAGTTACGCTGCGCCGCGCTGGCTAGTATAATAGCAAGTTTGCTTATAATACTTGCAAAACTAAAAACTTCACTGGATATTGATTCCAACAGGTATCAATCATTAAATTTAATAATACACTATAAAAAATTGTAATATTGAAATCTAAAATTATTTAATGTTAGTAGTTTGTTTCGTTTTAAATTATAACCATATAGTATAATATACTTAATATACTTTATATTACATGATTAACTTTGTTATACATTTTACTACCTTCCTATATTTAAATTCTTAAAAATACCTTTATTTATTAGCATGTTCTATCAATGACACATTTTCGGAGGGCTGTAAGCTGTATAAAATAAGAAATTTCTTTAAAATAATTACAATTCATAATATAAAAATAATTTCTGATTGCGCCATTGAGTACTACATAATATCTAATACAAATATATCTATATTCTATACTCATGTAATTTTAAGCTAAAAATAATTTAACTTATAGACAAGGACAGTAAAAATAAAGGTATTATAATGGAATTATTTTCAAAATTTTTTTTATTAATTCTATGAAAAAAAATGTATAAAATTGCTTAAAATAATTTATATAAACGTACCTGCGCGTTATCAGTAAATATTGTCTGTAATTATTTATTATATGTAATTCAGTAATTGAAATCGGTATACGCTATATATATTATATAGGTTATAAGTTATAACACTATAAGGTCTAAACGATGTTTAATGTATGACTAATTTATTATGTTTGTAATAGTAAAAAAATTATAGAAAATAAAAAAAAAAATTTACACGAAAAGCAATAAAATACTATTAATACGTTTATAAATGTATAATTCAAATTTTAATCGTATGATTTTTTGTTTTACATATAGTTGTCAAATACAATAATATACCATATATAGAGTATAGAACAAAGATTTATAGCATTGACAATCGTGGAATAGTGATCCTGTGTGGAGAAAAATAAGTCGTAAACTGTTGAAAAATTGCTCATCAATAATTAAATATTGCAATAAAATTAAAATATCGTAAAAAAGTAATTGTATAACAACACAGATTATGGTGAGATAAATTTACTCTAATATTAAAACTTATAAATTATAAGTTATAAGTTATAATGCATATAATTGGTTCTGTTGTGCTATGTTGTACACGAGTCTGCAGAGAACCCTAAGTGAAAAACAACTAATCCGCTGACACTTTTTAACTTATTAGTTTTCAATTAAACTGGCGATAAGTTATTACAATAAATATTTTAAAACAGGCCTAGATTAACGATACATAAGTATTAACGACGCAGCGCACGTGCATCTGCCCCCATATATGTAAATTTGGTTATCATAAGCAGGAAATAGATACTTTTTACAAGTGCTGTGAATAAAATTATATATTCATCAGTCATAAAACTCGGACTTAAATTACTTAAAAAATATCAAATCAAAATATTATATTACGACTATATTTACTAAGTTTAATGTTTTTTTTTTTTTGATGAAAATTATATATTGAGATTTCCCGGAGAAGAAGCAAAACCAAGTGTTTGAGACCATTTCCTCAGACTATTTATATTAAACCGTAATTTAGTTTAAACTATTATTACTTTTTACTGCTGCAATAAATAACATATTGAAGTTATAAGCGTTTAATATAGCATATATAGCACCTTTTATTGGCGAACCAAGTTTTTATAAGGATTTATTTACTCTCACTTTAAAAGTTTTAGAAAAAAACATACCTATATTGAATAAATGTTAATTTTCGAATTCTTAGTACCTATAAACTTTTTCAATTTTATGTGGTCAGAGAATATATCTCGGAAAACTTTCTTGTACTACCGTACTATATATAATTATACACCAGTAACTAGGCTAATTAGATCTATAAATTAAGAAATTGTTTTTAGTTTAGAATTTTGAAATGAGAGAAAGTGTAAAGTACTAGTAACTTATAAATTATGGTTTACCGTATATTTTTCTAATAAAAACTTAGGTAAATTATCGTGATATATTAGTATTGTAGGCATGCAATATTTTTTATAGGTCAATACCGAATTTGGGGGAGGAATTTCATAATGAGAGGACTATATATTTAAGTTGATGTATTTATAATGAGTAAAACACTGTTACATAGGCACCATAAAGGACACGATTTTAGGTTGGAGGCAAAAAATGATTAAGAAAAAATGTTTTGGTTATGCTGTCTAAGCAATTAAGTAATATTTATTTATTTAATTATAAATTCATATTATTTTTCCTAAGAAAGAAGGTAGATGGGTGTGTTCCGTTTTGTTTGTCTCCAACTGCTTCCTCTATTAATTCAGTTTAAAATTAATACAATAGTTCATACCTTAACGGCTATTAGGCTATACATTATGTATAATATTAATAATTTTGATAAAGTAATAAGATATTGTAAATTTGACAACGGTGGTGTAACCTATCTACTACACCGTTCAACCTTAATAATTGTTCGACTGGCAAAGATTAATTTCGTTAACATTTTCGCAATTTTAGTTGAACGGTTGAAAGTCCGTTGGAAAACCCTACGGGATGGTTTTGTCAGGCATTTGAAGAAGAAAAAGACGATGGAAATGTATACTGCGGCGGCAGCCATGCGCCCGTACAAGCTAGAAAGACAAATTTCGTTCCTGTTGCCGCATGTGTCTTTCCGCGACGAGGACGACAACGGCGGTAGCAACGACGATGAGGACACTTCTTCGCTGCTGATTACCGACATCAAGACCAATGAATGCGAATCATCAGCGTATGATCAACAGACAACTACCGAAATGCTCTACGAACAATCTAATATAGACAAAGCGTGCAACGAACACGAAGCCTTGGACCGCTCTATACATTTCCTATGCGACCAACGGTATAAACAGGCAGCCGCCACTAATTACAAGTAAGTTACTCGGGGAGAGGATGGTATTTTTTTCGACAAAATATGATTAAGTAGTTTTCTTCTTTCGTCTTAAAATAATTTTATTTTCTTCGGCCATGGTTTCCCATTTAACATTTAAAGAGGCACTATCTCAAAATTAGTTTAGTAAAACTACTTAGCAGAATCCACAAAGCACTATGAAGAGACAGCTCCTATTATTTTCTAAAACATTATTGTATTTGTGTACATTTAGATTATTATTATTTAATTAAAAAAGTTGTGGTTGTGTAGATTGTGGATACATAAATATATAATTATAGTATGATATAAATACTAATTAATGTATTCATTAAACAGTATTCATCTAGCTTTTCCAAAAATAGGAAAGTTAAATAATTTCAATTGAAAAGCGAAGATAAAATCAAAAAATATAATTAAGGAGAGTTAAGTTAGTATGACTTTATTAAATCTTTGCATTCAATTATATAATCACTTGAATCTTAATTAATTACCTACCAATTATTAATAATCACATAAAATACAAAACATAATTATGAATTTAATGACGTTTTAACAATTAATTACAAATAATTATTTTAATGTACCTACATAAACTCAACCTTTTAAATTATATAATAATCATATTTTAATGTACCTACATAGAAACAATACATTTTTGGTCAGTAATAATAAAAGTTTCCTCCTTGTAGTGCTCTCTGGGTTATGTTAAATGGCTTTATTAAACTAATTTTGAAACAATGTTTCCCAAAACGTTGAATGTGAAGCCGTGGGCGAAATGAATATAATTATTTTTAAGCAAACGGAGGAACTACTTTATCATATTTTGTCGAAAAGAGGAAGACATTTTCTGGCGGAAGAAGTTGCGCCCGATAATAATCTTATTATAATTACAAGTAATTATCTATTCTACATCACCTACGAATTACGATTACAATTTACCTATATCGTAGATAACGAGGAGGTATTTACTTAACGGGTGTGTATTGCGGGCAGGCTGCAGAGATCTAAGAGGGCATTAGCTAAGAAAACATAGTGGATGGTTAAATGGTTTATGATCAACGTCGTTTAAATAAACTATTTAGTTAGAATTAATAAAACAATGTTAGGTATTTATACGTTTCGACCTATTTTATACTAATTTAGGATTCACATAAAGCTTCTAAATCTCAGCTAGTGATTTATGTTTATCAAAGAAATAATATTGAAACTTTATCATTATATTGTATTGGCTCGCCCGAGAATATGTACCTATATATATATATATATATATATATATAGAGAGAGAGAGAGAAAGAATACAAGAAGAGATAAAATAAATGTTCATTGTGGATTGTGGAAGAAGTGCATTTATCAATTTGTAGTTTCTCGGTTATATTGAACTATATAGCGGTCAATTTATTTTGTTTTTATGGCCTAGGAGAAAAATATCGCTTGGGGAGAAGGGTGGTTGGTGGAATGGCTGTAAAAACCTTAAAGTGATAGTTATAAGTCATATAACTACCTAGTTAGGTATATGTACTGTTGCAGCATAATTGCGTTACCCTAATGCTGATTGATACATACTGAAAGAATATATAACATTATGTTTGTATTTAGATTGGAAGACATGGATTCGGTGGACGCATTTTTCCATGCCATGGCACAAACAGTCAAACAGTTGAAACCCATCACTGTGGCAAAGATCAAAAGAGCAGTGTCGATCATTGTGTCAAATGCAGAAATCGAAGAAATGGAAACTGTCCCGTGCGGAAGGTTTCCTATGACCATTCCTATCACAAATGAATCTAAAAAGTAGAATTGAAAGTATTATGTTATGTTTGTACAAAAAATAAAATTATGTATTATAAAATTATTTACATATTTACACTATAAGGATTTTATATTAAACATAATATTTAAGTATACAATTTTCAATGTTAAACTTGATAAATGATAAGAATAAGAAATAATGCTTGACTAAAACTTGTTTGTTTCTACCCTCATGATGTGGTCCTATTTCAGTATTAAGTAGAATAACAAATAATTGCAAATCATTCCTTACACATTTCAAAGAATATTTTTAAATTTCAAGTCCTATTATTAATACATTTTTAAAATTTAAATTATACAAAATAATGTGTCTATGCCAATAAATAGTTCTAAATTAAATATTTAAAATTAAAATGACAAAAAATATATTTAAATTAGATAAATTAGTATGCAATTATGTCAACTGGACATTTTAATAACAAAGTATAAAACTAACACTATTACAGTATTACCCGTATAGAATTCTTGAAAACAGCATTATTTACTGACTACAACATATGTAAAATCTTTTTAAGTAGGTAGCTAAACTATTTTGTGGCCAATGAGCATTACTTTCTCAAGGTAGCTCTAGAGTAATTCTAAAGTTTATCAAAGTTTATAATAGTCTATTAATTGTTATTTCAATACAATATATTATTTAATTAGAAACTAGAGTTAGCAGGACCATAAATCAAACTATTTTTAATTTTAGTGGAAATAATAACTCCTTTTATAATGACTACTTATAGTTTCAGAACAGAAACTAGTGGATTAAAGTTTTTGGTCTTATGTAAGTCACTGTTCTCCAAGTATTTTTGGATGTTCTACGAAGTAATCACTTTTCACCTATTTTTGCTTTCCATTTGTTGATGGTACACGCAGAATTATCTGCTTCTCCAGTATCTAAAGTTGTCTTCTCTGTTTTGTTGATAATATGAAATTATTCATTGAGTCTGATGAGGATTGTATAAACTACAGAATAATAAATTTAACTGTTTTTTTGTCTTGTCTATAATATATATATATATAGCTCTAAAGTGTACAAATACTTTTATTTTTCATACATGCTCTAATAATAATTCTTTTTTTTTTTATACATACATTATACAATATACATAGGGCCCAAAACTTGATGCATTTGTATCTTTTTATCTAATGCTTGTATTTTCTAGGACCATTTTTATTTTAAATCACTTTAACACTTTTTTTATATGTATTTTTTAAAGAATTTTAGGTCATAAAGTTCCCGGCCCTAGTTTTATGTATAATATAATGTGCATTAAATATATATATACTAGATATTGTTTGCTAATAATATAATTTAAAAATTACAAAACTAAAAATAAGCCAAAGGAGAAATATATCACCTTACTTTCCTTGTCGTAGTGAATAAAACCTTGGTTTGACAATTACTCATAGTGACAGACAAAGTATATAAACTACACAGATACAACAGAACATATTCATATAAAACGGTAATAACGTAATATGTATTTAACAGTTAACACATGAATAGAATAATTAGTAAGAAATACAAACATTGATTATGAGGTAAAATTGTTTAAAATCTAACAATAATTTATAAATTGATAAAAAAAATGATATTCACCAAAACCAAATATCTCTGTTGTTTTTTAGATTTTGATCAATGATACATGTTAGTTAAATATTTTTTTTGTTACAAATATTTAATCAGCAATTTCCTAAAATTAATTTTTGTTAACTAACTAATCATGATAAAAGTTATATAAATAAATATACATCATATCCATTATTTAATGTAAAATAAAAGTACTTATTAACTTTTTTGTTTTTATTAATAAAGTAGTTTGTGGAATTTTAATCATTAAAATTTAATAGAAACATTAAATAAATAAATATTTAACTAGATTAACAATAATTGTAATTATTACCAAAACATTAGTTTTAAATATTTTAAACTTAAACATGATTTAAACATGTTTTCACAACCGATTATCTATTGAGATAAATTAATAATAAAATCGCAGATATAAATATTAATTAGTAATTATTATGGTAAAATGAGAGAATTAGATCTTAAGGAAGAAGTTGAACGTAATTGGCTGGAAATAGACCAAATGTACCATCAGGACTTAAACCCTGCCACCAACCTTGATCAATTTGATCAATATGACAAATTATATCACCAGGATCAAATGAAATTTCTGTATCATCAGCTAGACAAGAATAAATCAAGTTAAATTAAATAAAAAAATAATGTATTTTTATACTACCTGCTTGGTAATCATACAAGGCTTCAGCTCTAATTCCTAAATCATCTTCAACATTGCTTTGTTCATTTTGATTTTCAATTTCTTCGGTGACTAATCCCGGTTTTGCTAATTCAATTTCAACATCTTTAGGTATTTTTGATTCTACTGTAACAACAGTAGGTGTTGGTTCGGTTTTTTGAATTTCTTCAATTGTTACTGAATCTCTTCTTAATCTATCAGCATCCTATAAAAGTCATAAATTTAGTTTTTACATAAATAATAAAATGCTTATTATATCATACTTCTCGCAATAGTCTTTCATCCTCTATATTTTTCTGCTCTTGTTCTTTTTTTTTTCGTTCTTCTTCTTGTCTTAATTTCTCTTTTTCTTCTTCAGCTGCCCAAAACTTATCCCTTTCTGAAGAATTTATTTCTAAATTAGGCTGAATTCTTTTATAAGTAGTACCCTGAAACAGTTATTCTGTTATTAGATATTACTATATAAATAAAAATAATTTGTATCGATGAGTTTACAATTTTCTCTTGTGGCTGCGATTGGTCAAGTCTTTCTTTAAATGAGTATACTGATCCTGATGACTTGGAAACTTTAGAAAGTATTATATCTGTGTCTACTTCATCATCATTACGTGCGTTTATAGTTACATGCGCTCCTTTTAAAATGTTGGATACATCGCGAATATGATTAGCACAAGTTCCTTTTCTGACAATAGGCGCTCCTTCTCCTTGCTGAAAATAACAAACATAATTTTTTAAATTTAAGAAACATTTATCCATTGCTAATTTATTAACATTTACTAACCCAATTTATTAAAACACATTTATAAAGGCTAGTTTTTGGGTCCAAAACTCGACAGAAAGCATACATTATTTTAGCGCTATTTAAGTCTTCTTTCATTTCTTCAATTCCTCCTTCTACAAAGTTCAGAAAAAATATAATAGATTTTTAAAATTAAGAATTTACTACCTATACTTTGTCTAGTGAGAGAATAAACTACAGTAGGATAAAAATTGGATCTTTCACGTATCCCGTATGATACACTGTCATAGTAGAACCAGTCTCGATAGTAGGGAGTTGTGAGGATGCACACAATTATTATATTCTCTCATTGGACAGATATATATTAATTATAAATTATAATACATAAAATAGTATTTTAGTCATAAATCATGATTTAAGCAACTACATATAAAAGAATACCTCCTTGGCTGATAAACTTGAGTACGTTTGTTGGACCCTCATAGCCGTACAAGGCCCTAAAATAAAAAAAAATCATTATTAATGTTTTAGTATCAGATATCTTTCACTGCTTACAACTTGCGTAGTACTTACCAATTAGTCGGTGTCTTGTCATCTACCACATCTTTCCAAGTATCCAATATTTTCTGTCTGTTTTTGTTCACGTCCAGTTGGGACATGTTCGTGATGATCAAAGTTTCAATCAAACTATAAGTTTTTAAAATAAAGCATAAATGTTTACTACACTAATATCTCTGTAGTTATTGTAATATTTCGAGTTTCGACTAGAATATTGTCGTTACTTGTTCATTTTCTATGTATTCATCATTCTATCTACTTATCATTTTATCAGTGTTATCACTGCTTGTTGTTGTCTGTCAAAAGCATGATTTTAGGTGGAACCAATATCTGTAGTTCCACAAAACATTTGTACTAATGTTTTTTTGTTCCACAACAATTTGGAACAAATTGACGATCGGAATACATTTTTCGTGGAAAGAATATTTTTTACAACAACTAATAGTTGTGACTCGAGAGAGTTTTCATAATGAAACAATGAAATTGAAATAAATATTATTTTAGTGTAAGAAATATTTATTTACACTTAAGTATGTGTTTTGGTTCAAACAGTAATTGTGCTGTGAAACAAATTTTGAGCTTATATATTTATTTTGATTCACTGAGTTTCTAGCTGATACGTACCTATTATACTTGATATTTGTTCATTTTTTCCCGGGCAAAGTCAATTTATACAGTTGGTACATTGCATAATTCTAAAACTTCACTAATCATTTATAATTTAAATGTAATTTAAAAAAAAAATTCAGGGCTGTATTTAAATAAAACAAACAGTTTTTCATTAAAAAATGTATTTACGTTCACCTTTGTTTGAATGGAAATCGGATAAGATATTCACTATTTTTTCCAGTTGTTCTTCTCTTGTATTTTTTAAAGTAATTCGGTTAATTCAAATTTAATTCTTGAATTCCTAATTAAAAAGGGTAGGCAATAAGGCAAGTGAATACTTCTCTACTGTGCTGTAGATGTCAAATGGTATTCGTAATTGAGTAAATCGCTATAATGGATTTTGTTAGTAGTATAACATTTCCGATTCAGAAATTTACTCCTACTCGTACTCCTTCTGCCGCTGCCGACGCTGAAAACTATAAATAGTCCAAACTCCTTATCACTAGGCCATCTTCCAAGCACATATCTTACCAGGTTGTATAGCTCGGACTTTTGAATTCCTTTGATATTCTGAAAAATTCTGTAAGCACTACATCAGTTTTTATTTAAATTCATTGATGCTACAACGATTTACAACTTCAAATAGGTATGTAGTAAATATATATATATTTATAATAGGTATATATAAAATTTTGTTGAGTAATCAAAACGTAGCTATAGGTACCTATAATTGAGGAACTTCGCGATAATACAAAACGAATGAATGTAAAATGACAAACGTGTCAAGCCGTTTAGGATATATTATATATATTGTTATATTAATTATGTATAATTATTATTCAAATAGTAAAATATAAATACTATAATAGTGTAGATGCGTCATTACAATATAATTACAATTATAATATTCACTTATAATTAATTATTGTAAGTTGTAGTTTTTTTTTCACTCTTATTTCCCTTACGGTACACTATATGTAATAATATCAAAAGCTTCCACTAATTTGTTTTTGCAGTTAGGTTTTAATTTTAATTAAAGACACATACACTACATTAGAATATTTGAATTATCGCGTTTAAATTGGTTTATCGATAAATTTTAATTAACCAGTGTTTTGTATATTTGTATGAGTAACTTTAATTTTTTTACATAACAAAACGGAACAGGTTAATTATACATTTGATGAACATAAGATAACTAAATATATAGGTAAATTACCAATGAACAATATATCAATAAATATCATAAATTATTTAATTTTTTAATACAAATACATTAATAATAAGCTCAGAAAGTATTATGTGCAACATTTATATCATAGGTAGTAAATTATGATATCAAACACTTAACACTGGATAGCTGCTTCGATTACAGGGCAGTCAATGGCGTGTGGTGTACAAACCATAGTACTGTAGGTTAGCGATTTTTGGAACGATCTTACACGTCGCCTTGCACAGTCAATCAAGCTCACCACGTATCCGTATACCATCGTTATTTACAAAGCCAGCAGCACAAACTTCTACAGAACTTGAGAAGTCGCCTTCTCAATGCCAATAGAAACGGCCTACTACGTTTGGATGTGATTGTTCTACTATTGGCAGTATTGGCACTGATTTTATTTCTTCCATAGTGGCTTTATACAGCCCGTCACCGTCACTTTTAACACCATCACGTAGAACCATCTCAGCGTCTAATACGCGCTGACTCGCGTACACTTCTGTCCCCGCACGTATCCCAAACGGCCAGAAACTGACGACAAAACGGTCTTCTCGACATCTTCGGTGGTCATCTCTGCAAGAGACACCAATGATTTACCAATTTCGTAGCTTGGTGCACTTCCTCGTAGACATAAGAATGGCGGTAAGTGTTTTCCGATCTCCAAACTGGAATTACTGATTTTCCGCGAGATCTCTTCGAACTTTAACAGTTTTTCCGATATAGTTGTTCTAGTCCACCGTCCGTGTATTTCCGACGACGCCACGTTCCTGTCGCTAGAACTCAACGACGACCGGTCGTCATTCAAATTGTTCGATCTCCGAGTGGCCGCCTCCAGTAACTCGTCGGTTAGCGCGTCCAATACCTTAAAATGCGCCGAAGTCAGTGATGTCAATTGATGTTTGCTGCGGAGCTGAGAGATCTGTTCTTAACCCGGACATCCCGGTTAAGGATCTCCGTTGGTCGGCTCTAGTCTATATGATGATTCTGGTGTTAATTTGTTTTCTAATAATGAATTTTCTTCCATGAAGTTAACTTAATTAGAAAATTATTGAATATATAAGACAATTTTTATATAAATATATTATATGATACAAATGTTCATGCGAAAATATAAGAATGCAATTAATAGTTGTTCTTTGCGAAGTATAGAATCAAACTAATTCAAAATTTGTAATCAAACATATAGATAAACATTCAAGCGAATATATCCAAGACAGCTAGCAAAGTTCTTTTTACATTATTTAAAATATATTAAACAGTCAGTTTATTTTTAAAGACACTAGGTATACCATTTATACCAATATTTTAAATTTCAGATTAAGATTTTCACACCTTCTTACTGCAGGTTAATAATAATTCGTGATACTACGGTTAATTATGATGAGTTATTTTAATACATTTTTTATTTTTTAGCTGTCATATATCATAATATTTTATCAAAAATTATGCAACAAGTTATTTTGTTATAAAAAACTATGTTTGATTATTGTAACATTAATATGCTAAGCCCATAATTATCAATGGCGTAGGTAACTTAGAGTTGTTTTTTTGGTGAGTGGGGAGCAAAATATAATACATATTTTTCACTTATTTTAAAATATTATTGTATGTTTTTTAATAAACAAAATTCTATTTTTATTATTGCATCTCGATAAAATTATACAAGAAAATATTGCATATTTCGTATTTTAATCATTATTAAGCTGTATAAATTACAAACTTTGATGGCGCTCATGATACATCGGCGCCATGGGCGATCGTCTAGCTCGCCTATCCCTAAGACCGACCCTGATTTTTATTCTTATTCTCATAAGAAGGAAAATTTTCATGATTTTGTCGAATTCTCTGAATTTATTTTCGGCTACTAATAAATAAAAAATGTGATCATATTTTTAATATTTTAATGATTAAAAAAAAATAAAAATTATGAGAAGCTTTGTATTACACTTTCAAGATTTTTAACAAAACAAAAATGGTATGAAATTTCTTTTAATGTCTATTAATAACACAAAAAATCTAAACTTTAATGAAATTTAGATACATCATATCTTTAAAATGCTAATATAAATTGTTGGTAAAAATTCCTGTAGTTATTCATTTTTTAATTCTGAAAATTAAAAAAACTACACATTTTTTTTTAAAATTTGGTTTTGAATAAATATTTAGATAATTTTTTCCTCGATAACTCTGATTTTTTCATTGTTATAACTTACTAAAGTATAAAGTGACTACTAGTTTCAGTTTTCAACTAGCAATCACGCTTAGTGTTGAAAATTCAAAAAGTATTTTTATTGTAATAAAAAGTGATAACAAAAAAAAACATTATTTCAAAACCAATGCATTCCAATATTCCATTAATTTTAAAATTGTTAATCTGGACTTAGTCCGAATTATAATGAACTAATATGTCTGTAGGCAGCTAATTTTAATTAACATTTTGTCAGTTTTCATGATTAAAACATGTTTCTTTACATATACATATATATTATATATTTTGTTATAGCTACAATGTATATTGTATAGACTTCGCGAAAGTTTTGATTTTAAACTTTTCACAAACATTATAATACATAATATATATTTTATACACATATATCATTTAATAACCTTTAAAATGTGTATAGTTATGGCCAGAGGCGGAACTAAGATTTTTCATGCCAGGATAAATATCAAAATTACGCCAATTATATAGATCAAGACTTCAATACCCTTGCTAACAATCAGACCGTAGCCAAGTATTTGTTTCAGAGGGGGTCAAGTTAAAAAAAAAAATAAATAGATATTTTTAAACATTTTTATTATTGAAGTAAAAATCAAATTATTATAGTATCAAAATTCAAAAGTAATAATAATTGTTTAGGTAATTTCCAATTTGATTTCGAAGTAGTGGTTTTACTATTTTTAAAGTAGAAAACGAAGTTCAACTTTGGTTGTATAAATTTTATCTAGTTATTTGATAAAGGACAATCATGATTATTATATTACAAATTTATCTTAAATTAGGTGGGTATATTAATATTGTGTAAATTCTTATCTACGCAGACAAGCGGTTATGATGTGGTTTGGTTTGTATGAGAATAATTCTTTCTATATATAAAAATGTAAAAAAAAATTTTATCGATGATATTTGAGGGGGGTCAGGACCTCATAGACCCCTATCCTGGCTACGTTCCTGTCTACAATTATTGTTTTCTAATAATAATTAGCATACAGATATACTTATTGATATTTATTTTATTTTATAAAAACCAAAGTTAAAAATATTAAGCTAGTTTATAGTAAGACACTTTGGTGTTCTTTGGTAAAAAATAATAAGAGTATAACTAGTATAAGACATATTCTTATTATGCTTTCCATTACTAGTGGATTTCCCATCTAGGTTTCAATAATTTCTAGACAACACTGAGTATTACTGCAATAAGTATTTAGTATATATT